TATAATCAAGATGCAATCTATCATGCTTCAAACTTACTTGCTTAAATAACATTCCAGCTAAATGCCCGATTTGATTTTATTGTGCGAAATGATGCTGATTTAAGAATTAAAATTTTATCACAAAACGGATCAATTTAAAAAAAAAAATGACGTTCTGATGTACGTATAGTATCTATCTCACGATTCTGATTTGATGCAATCTCATCTTTTTCATTCTCACAAGTACCTGACGTTTTTGTTAAAAATATTCTCCTATTGAAGGGCGTCGATTGCTGGAGCAATGCTCGTGTTTCGATATATCGAGATGTAACGTAAAATAAGTGGAAGTGGAACGACGATGATCACAAGCGAATAAGAAATCAGACGAAGTAAGACGAACCTGGAATCGAGGCAAGATTCAATCTCAACGGATGAATTCACCATGAAACGTTGCGATTCACCACATAAGCGTTTTCGCGCCTTCTTGTAATCCTGGTCCGTGCTATTTTCTCGCATCTACTCGCATTTCCTTCCTCATAGATTTTTCTCTCCTTCGATTCATGCTTCACACATTTACTTCTTGTGATATAACAATTTATTTTGCATTATTTTTTCCGCTGCTTTTCATCTAAGGACTTTTTGCCATTTGCTAAATGAACTATTGTTTAGCAAAGTTTTTGCAGGTTTTTTTTATCTTTTTACCTTTTCCTGATTTTTATATCTTTTATAGCACATTATATCACGCTAGAAAAATGGTGCATATAAATAGCATTAGAAGATTTTCAATTTTGAGTTAAATATCGCTCGTAAATGCAGCGTATTGCATCGGCCATGTGTTCATTGATGCTCCTATCTCTAAGCTCAGTTATTACTGAAACTACTGTAATCAATGCTAATACGAGGCCGGTCGGTACTAAGAATTAACAATTTCCGCTAACCTAAGGCTTGCAGTGCTAACTTTGCGCGCGATGCAACCAACGTCGTATAGTAAATCAATATAAAATCGTAAATATTAATCCCCTCCCCCCTTTCCTTTTCGAATAAAAAGCAGTAATATGTGGAAGAAGCTATTTATTGCGATAATTATTTACGATGCTGACGCCTACGCGACTTAGGAAGTGCATGATTAAATTGTGTATCGCGATGATTAAAACCGCGAAGTATAATGTACGATAATGATGTACCGCATTTTTTCAGATACTACAAAAATATACTACTAACAAAATTACTCTATCAACATCAGCGTCAGTTTTAATTCATGTACAATCTAAGAAATAGAAGTAGAAAATAAACTAATTACGACACATATACATACGTATATAATATTAAGATATACATATATTACATTTTAATAGTAGGGGAGATCGAGGATAGTAGACTCATTTTTCAGTTTCGAATTTTTACAGACGAAATTAAGAGACTTATCGAAAAAATGAATTCTACGCCAGTTACTACATACATTTGACTATCTAATAATATTTTAATAATAAGGGA